CTTCTTTTTACATTTGACTTAAAATTGATCACACTCCAAAAAAACCCTAATGATAAAATGTTTTTTAGTCTGGAGTGACATGAAAACGAAAAACCAGTAATGTTAACTTTGATGCAGTGGCAGTAACACTTGTCAAAACTGTAAGGATAACTATGCTGAAAATGAACCCAGCTAAACTTGTCAAGTGCACAGTATTCGACTGTGCTTTATTGATTTGTCCAGCTAAACTTCAATTCTTTAATAGTATTAGGATCATGCTAATGTTAAAATGCAAAAACCTCAAAAGTTATGATGAGAAGATCCAGAAGAACTACAAGAAGGACAACGAGAACTTCAAGAACTTCAAGAACAGCGTGACAACGTTGACATGGCTTTTGCTGTAAGGTTGGTCATCTTTCTGAGGGTAGGTGAACATCTCCTTGTTTGTGGATGTGATCATCTTGATTTAAAACTCAAAAAAAAAAGAAAAAAAAAAGGTTTGAGGGGTGTTTTCAAAAACTTGATCTGAAATCCAGAAACAAGGTTCAAAAGGTTGCTTTTCATGACTTGATCCAAACCCAGAAATAGGTTCTCAACGTGCTTTCAAAGACTTGATTTCAAGCTCTACAAAGATTTGTAAAGGTTGCTTCCAAAGACTTGATCTTAAAAACAAAAAAAACAAGGTTTAAAAAGGTTTCTTTCAAAAGCTGGTTCTTTAACAAGCAAAGACACTATGTCAAAGGTCTGGTCTCAAAAAGTATGTCAAAAGCACTTTAAATTTGACAAAAGCACCAAATCTAACAAGAGCACCTTCAAGCCTAAAAAAAAATTGCCTCTACTCAGTCAAAAATGGCATAAACCAAACAATCAAAGCTTTTTCTCAGCAGCACTATCACGGAGAACAAGAAGACCACTCAGAAAAACCAAAGGAGTAGAAGAAGACCTGATGTGGACCCTGTGTGTCAACGCCGAAACCTCTGAACAGGACTGGGTCTGTTTTTTTTCCTTTTACATTTGACTTAAAGATGATGATCACACTCCAAAAAAACCCTAATGATAAAATGTTTGTTTTACTCTGGAGTGACATGAAAACGAAAAACCAGTAATGTTAACTTTGATGCAGTGGCAGTAACACTTGTCAAAACTGTAAGGATAACTATGCTGAAAATGAACCCAGCTAAACTTGTCAAGTGCACAGTATTCGACTGTGCTTTATTGATTTGTCCAGCTAAACTTCAATTCTTTAATAGTATTAGGATCATGCTAATGTTAAAATGCAAAAACCTCAAAAGTTATGATGAGAAGATCCAGAAGAACTACAAGAAGGACAACGAGAACTTCAAGAACACCGTGACAACATTGACATGGATTCTGCTGTAAGGTTGGTCATCTTTCTGAGGGTAGGTGATCACCTTAGTTTTAGATGTGATCATCTTGATTTCAAACTCAGAGGTTTGAGGGGTGTTTTCCAAAACTTGATCTCAAATCCAGAAACACGGTTCAAAAGGTGCTTTCATGACTTGATTTCAAACCAAAAAACAAGGTTCCAAAGGTGCTTTCAAAGACTTGTTCTCAACCCAGAAACATGGTTTAGAAGGTGCTATCAAAGACTTGTTCTAAAAAAAAAAAGGGTTCAAAAGGTGCTTTCAAAGACTTGTTCTCAACCCAGAAACATGGTTCAAAAGGTGCTTTCAAAGACTTGTTCTCAGACAAAAGGGTTTTAAATAGATGCTTTCAAAAGACTTGTTCTTAAACTCAGGAACATGGTTCAGAAGGTGCTTTCCAAGGTTTGATTTCAAAACAAAAAAAATATTCTAAAAAGATGCTTTTCAAAAACTTGATCTCGAACCAAAAAAGGCTTAAAAAGGTGCTTTAAAATCTTTATATTAAACCAAAAAAGGCTTGAAAGGTGCTTTCAAAATCTTGATCTCAAACCAAATACAAGGTCCAAAAGGTGCTTTAAAGAACTTGATCTCAAACCAAAAACAAGGTTCCAAAAAGGTGCTTTAAAAAGACATGATCTGAAACCCAGAAACATGGTTCCAAAGGTGCTTTCAAAGACTTGTTCTCAAACAAAAAAGGTTCAAAAGGTGCTTTCAAAGACTTGTTCTCAAACAAAAGGGTTTAAAAGGTGCTTTCAAAGACTTGTTCTTACACTCAGAAACATGTTTCAGAGGGTGCTTTCCAATGTATGATTTCAAAACAAAAAAATATTCTAAAAAGGTGCTTTTCAAAAACTTGATCTAAGACCAAAAAAGGCTTGAAAGGTGCTTTCAGAATCTTGATCTCAAACCAAATACAAGGTCCAAAAGGTGCTTTCAAAATCTTGATCTCAAACCAAAAACAAGGTCCAAAAGGTGCTTTCAAAAACAAGGTTCAAAAGGTGCTTTAAAAGACGTTAACTCAAACCCAGAAACATGGTTCCAAAGGTGCTTTCAAAGACTTGTTCTTAAACTCAGAAACATGGTTCAGAAGGTGCTTTTCAAGGTATGATTTCAAACAAAAAAAATATTCTAAAAAGGTGCTTTTCAAAAACTTGATCTCAGACCAAAAAAAGGTTTGAAAGGTGCTTTAAAAATTTTGATCTCAAACCAAAAACCAAAATAGGTTCAAAAGGTGCTTTCAAAAACTTGATCTCAAACCAAATTCAAGATTCTTAAAGGTGCTTTAAAAGACTTGATCTCAAACCAGAAACAAGGTTCTAAAAGTGTTTTCAAAGACTTGTTCTTAAAAAAAGGCTTCAAAAAAGGTGCTTTTAAAAGACAAAAAAGGGCTCAAAAGTTGCTTTTCAAGGATTGATCGCAAACAAACAAAAAGGTTTGAAAGGTGCTTTCAAAGATTTAATTTTAAACAAAAAAATTTTTTTAAGATGTTTTCAAAGCCTTAGTCTTGAACCAAAAAAAGCTTCAAAAGGTGCCTTCAAATACTTGATCTTAAACCCAAAATACAAGGTTTAAAAGGTGCTTCAAAAAACTGGTTCTTAAAACAAGCAAAATACGGTATGTTAAAAGTCTGCTCTCAAAAGGTCTGTCAGCAAAATCACTATCAACTAAAACTAAGTTTCAAAACCACCAACATCGCAAAACCGTCAAAGTGCTTCCAAAGGATCCAACGGAAACAACAACAACAAGACAGCAACGTTTGCGCATTGTTTCTATCAGATGTAGCTGTCAACACTAAACAGAACGAGGATAATAAACAAACTGTGTAGATCCTCCAACTGTTTTTGTTAAAACCGTAGTTTTTCTTATTTTTATTTATTCTTTGTATTTTTGTGAACCTTTGAATCTCTGAAATGGAATCCTTGAACTGTGCTTGTCATGATCTGCATTTGTTGTACTTTTTTTTTTTTTAAACTTATTTATTTTCTGTATGTTTGGCCATGTTTCTTTGAGTGCATATGTATGTATGTCTGCTTTCCTCCGAACATAAGCAGGTCTGACGAGGTGACCACTCTTTTCCTGGAGGAACTGTTGCTGCAGAAACTCAAAGTGCCGCCTTCCTGTTCCGTCTGGGAAATCCAAGGGTGGTCATCTTGTTGAAGGTAAGATGAACTTTTCATTTTGGTAGCGTTATGTTTTCACCAAAGTAACCACAAGAAAGCATGTAAGAAACCAGGTCCTGCATTCTGATAACTTCATCCATATTCAGTTTAAAACTGATTTTCTAATGCTGAACCCCACCTTCACTGTTTTTAAGTCGAGTATTTTCTGCATTTGTATGTGTGTCTCTCTCCTTTTCCCCAACCATCACAGAAGTGAGCATCTTCAGTGTTGAAACTGGCAACCACCAACGTCTTCGGGAAGGATCTAGATCACCGCTAAAGAGATGGAGTCAGGCATCATTGTGCTGGAGGTAAGATGAGACAGGGAACACCACTTAACACACTGTCCTATTGTCACCCAGATGTCTGAATGCTTCAACTCCAGAAACAACTTTTCTCTGATCATTAATCGTTTTCACAAAGGCGCAAGGTGACGTGGGTGTGCTTCAGTTGTTTTCCCAAAGTTAAGGCCCACTTGAGCTCGATCTTTGCCTGTTTTTATGTTGATAACATGTAAGGCTGGGTCAGTGTTTCCAAAGATGCAACAACACAAGGTTCAATGATCAAAAACACAACAATCAAACCAAAAACAAGGTTTAAAAAAGTGTTTTCAGCCACACAACCACAAACCAACAAGGTTCACAACGATGCTTTCAAAAGACATTATCAAAACAGACAACATGGTTCATGAGGTTCTTTCGGGGACATTATGGTAACACAAACGAGGTTTAAATGGTGCTTTCAATGACAAAAGGGCAAATCAACAAGGTTTAAATGGTGCCCAAAGGGACACAATGGTAATACAAGGTTTAGATGGTGCTTTCAATGACAAAAGGGAAAACCACCAACAAGGTACAAAAGGTAGTTTTAACTCAAAAGTTTAACGACAACAGTCAAAAAAATCAAGAAATGCTAAAAACACTAAATAAAAACCAAACCAAAAAAGAAAATTCACAACCAACCAGAGAATGGTTCAGCATCATTCAAGGTTAAAAAGGGTTTTAAGACTTTAAAAAAGGTTATTTCTGTTTTCATGAAACTTGGTTGACAAAAAAAACTGCAAAAATGTCAGTTGCAAGTTTTACCAAATACTTGCTGAGCCCACCAGTGTAAAAAAAAAAAAAAAAAAAAAAATCCAAAAAGCAAAACAACTCTTAAGGAAACAACAAATCAGCAAAGTTCACTCAGTTCTGCAAAAGGAAACCAACTCAACAAGGACAACCTCAACATCAACTACAACTTCAGGCCTCACCGTCTCCTCTACAGCTTCAACTAACATGAGGGGGACAATGAACTGTTACCATAAAATGTCTATGTTTTTTTGAGGGGGTTTTATTTTTGTTTGTTTCTCTCTTTTTGACCCTCCAGTCTCTGTAAAAATCTAAAATGTTTGTTTTCTTTTTTTTTGTTTGTTTGTTTGTTTGTGGGGTTTTCTTTTTTTGTTGTCGTTTTGTTTCTTTTTGACCCTCCAGTCTCTGTGAAAATCTGAGATCTGTACTTGTCATGGTTTTTTGTGTCCTGTTATTCTGTACGAGGTATGTATGCCTCCCTTTGGCTGCACATGTATGTCTCTGCTTTTCCCCTAAACATGACGGAGGTGTCGAGCCGTGGCGTTGGATGTGCTGACCACCACCAGGTCTTGGGTGGATCTGATGCTGCCCCACTTCGATGAGCTGCTCCTCCATCCAGACCGGGAAGTTTTTAAGAGTCACCGTCAAGCTGAAGGTTTCTGAAGTTCTCTTTTAATGATTTTGAGAAACTTTTCAAAGTTCTTGTAGTTGTTTTCACCGAGGTCCAAACACTCCAGCTTTTCTGGGGGTTTGTAGACGCCCAAGAGAAAATTGATTTTAAATCTGTCTGTTGAATCTTTTAAGTCTGTTTCCAATGTAGTGACCCATCTTTCTGTTTCTCCAAAATCTATCTTGTGTTGTTACAGAGTCTACATCCAAGAAGACCCTGGCAGACCCCATCACCTGCTGGACTCTGAGCCCCTGCATACTGGGTTACAGGTGAGCATGGAGTACAGATTCCACCACCTACAAAAAAAACCTGGTACAGCAGTTTTATCTGATGCATCCAGATTTCCTAACCCCTGCCAATTTTAATCTCTCCCAAACACCAGTGCTTTGCCCACTTTGAGAGACGGATCTTCTTCATTCTGGACCCCTTTAACTGAAGTCTGCACCAGTACAGAAACCTGCCTCTGGACACCATCAGACTCTACCAGATGCCGTGGGCACCATCCCCGAGAAACCGGTACATAAAACAGAGATAATGATTCACTTATAGGTTAAAAAATGTGCCGGTCTAAAGAATAAATTTGTCCTTTTGTTTTAGGACTACACCGAGACGTCGATGACCCCCTCTTGCTCCAGGACCCGGCTGAAGAATGAAGACAAAGACTTGGTCCCCTGATTGGAGGTAAGTCAATCTTTGCGAGTGGTCTTGCTTGTTTCAGTCAAAGTTTTATGGTGACAAATTGATGTTAACAGTCCACTAACTGGATCTGATCCCTGTCTGCCTTCTGTAGTCACCACCCTGCAGGCGGACTTCCTGTCTCACTGTGAGTCCGTAGACCTTCAACCTCGTCCAGAAAACCCTTACTCAGGACATGGTGGGTGCGCCTTTCTCTTTCAGGCTCTACTTTGAGGAGCACACATGAGCAGCTTTCTTAAATCCTTCTAACAGATGAGTCCGTTAAGATGATGATAGTTGGATATTTTTACTCGATGGGCACAGATAAACCTCCACAACCCATGAAGAGTGCAAGCTTTGCTATGTCACTGTCACTATATAGATCTCCTCCACCTTTATATCGCTGACATTATCAGTATTATTGACATTATAGGATTATCACTGAGACCTTTTCTGACTGATAGAAAACTAAATGAAAACGAGGCAGAATATTCACTCATGACAGTTTTCTTCATTTACAGGAGGATACTCGAGTCGCGACTGAGGACCCAGTGATGAAGATGGATGACCTGTCCTTGACACAAGGGTCATAGAGGATAGTTCTGTACTGATGAATCTATTATAAATTATTCATCTGTTTGACCAGATGATGTGTTGTTAAACTTGCTAACATTTGAGTTTCTTTGGTGCAAACCTGTAAGATCTACAGCTAGTAGAGTCTTCTTACAATTGTAACCAGGTGGTTTTTGTGTTGTACTGAATTTGATTTCTCATTATATTTGTAAAACTAAATGTTTAATCCGAGCTTCATTTATGGCTTAAACTTTGTTAAATGGAGGCTGAAACTGTGACAGCATGTAGAGAGCTTTTTGTCCACTGGGGTTTTTTTTCCTTCAATATTTTTCCCAAGCTGGTTTTTCATCTCTACCTCCACCAAACTCACTCTGTACACAAAGCTTGTCTTAAATGTCATCTTTTTGGATGCACATATTCTATTTTGCTCATATTGCTTTGTCTTTATTTAGTTCATTTTTCTGTCATGCTTTATTCCTCTCTCTGCTCCATGTTTTTTTGCATTTGTATTACACATATAACTAACTTTTCACATATTTTGTCTGAGTCAATAACTCTGACAGTGAAATACCGTGATTGTGTTTGGTAAAACTTGTCAACTTGACTCTGTTTTTAAATAAAGTTTTGTTTAAATGGAATCAAAAACTTTTCTCTGGAGGTCAGTTTTTTATTTTTTATTTTGATAACATGCACAGTAGGTAAGAAAGTTTTAAAATCAGACGGGAACACTTTTAAAATCAGTTCTCTGGCAAAATTGAGATGAGCCTCAATGTTCTTTTGTTCAGCAGTGGTTTCCGTCTTGTGACTCTGTCATGCAGGCTGCTTTTGCCCAGAGTCTCTTATGGTGGAGTCATGAACACTGACTTTAACTGAGAAAAGTGAGGTCTGCAGGTCTTTGGATGTTTTTGTTGTTGTTTTGTGACCTCTTGGATGAGTAGTTGTTGTGCTTTAGAAATGGCTTCATAACCTTTTCTAGACTGATAGATTTTCTGATAGATTTCTTTAGATCTCAGCATGATGTGTAGCTTTTGAGGATCTTTTGGTCTACTTCACTTTGTTGTCAGGCAGGTCCTCTTTAATGGATTTCTTGGCTGAGAACAGGTGTGGCAGTAATCAGGCCTGGGTGAGGCTACATTGAACTCAGGTGTGATAAACCAGTTATATTTTAACAGGGAAGGAAATCCCTATTAGTTCAGATTTTTTTTTCTCTTTTAATCTTAAAAAGCTTTTTTAAAAACTGGATTTTGTGTTCACTTAGATTTTTTTGAAGATCTAAAACATTAAGGTGTGACAAACGTAGGAAAAAAAGAAAAGAAATCAGGAAGGGGACAAACACTTTTTTACACTTTAGATCTCAGCATAATGTTGAGGGTCTTTTGGTCTACTTCACATTGTCAGGCAGGTCCTATTTAATGGATTTCTTGACTGAGAACAGGTGTGACGTTAACCAGGCTTGGGTGTGGCTAAATTGAACTCAGGTGTGATAAACCAGTTATGTTTGAACAGGGGGAGGCAGTCCATTTAATTCAGATTTTTTTCCTTCCTTAATAATAAAACTTTCATTTAAAAACTGCATTTTGTGTTCACTTGTGTTTACTTTGACTTATACTGAAATTTGTTTGATGATCTGAAACAGGAAATGTGTGGAAGAAAAAAAGAGCATTAACTCTGCTTACCGAGACGGATAAAACACATGAAATCTAATAATCAAATTGAATTTCAGCGACCAACTTTGTTGTCGAGTACTCAGCAGGACCCAGGCTTTAAGATCCAAAGCTGTTTTTTTTTTTTTTTTTGCCGTTTTGACCGGATATGGCGAAAAGACTGGTTACGCTCAGGAGTATGATAGTAGTCCCATAGATTGAGATCAGTTCTGCAACGTTCGGTTATCATTTTAAATAATCAACTCTTGAACTGTGGATTAAAATCGATTGTCTAGATTAGGTCTATATGTAGACATTGAAATGACGCATACATTTTGACGTCTAAATCACGTCCAAAAAAAGACCGAATCCCGACGTTGAAATGAAGTATAAATTTAGACGTGTAAATGACGTCTACATCTATACTATGCTGCATATCTCTTCACGGTATCATAAGTAATGTAATCCAGTATTTAGAGGTCAGTTATGCACATTACAGTTGTTTATTGCGTAAAAAGTTATCGAAAAATGAAGTTGAGGGCGAAGTATAAATCACGTCTAAAAACAGACCGAATCCCGACGTTGAAATGAAGTATAAATTTAGACTAGACGTCTAATATACGTCTTTTGCTCAGTGGGTAGTTTGTATATTTTGCCAATAAAGCTCATTTGCTATGGGGATTTAGTTAATTTTGATTCCAACTGTATATTTTTAACACTCATCTGCACTCCTCACCTCTGCACTACTGCCTAAATCAGTCTTGTATTTATAAGTTAAATGTCAAAGCGTGTTCATATTTTTGTATTTCTTGTATTATTTTATGTTAGATGTTTGCACATATAGAGCAAAGTCTACTGAAGTCAGCTTCCTTAGTTGACCAATAAGCTGATTCTGATTTTGAATGTGGTGTGACTGGGTGAATGTGATATGTGATATAAAGCGCTTTGAGTGGTCAAAAGACAAGAGAAATGGCTATATAAACATACATTTTCACAGGTGTGCAGTTTTAATGTTCTGTTGAATTGTTATTCAGACTTGTGTCTGGACACGCCCCTGAGGAGACGGAGGGGTGAGTGTGAGAACAGATTGATCTCAGGGTGTAAGTCACAGCAGATGCGCTAGTGTGAGACCACAGCTGGTGATCCACCAGGAAACTGAAGCTCTTCTTAATCAGTGAGTGAATTACTTTACCTTCTAAGTGTGTTTTTTGAGCATGCATGGATATTATTTTGTATTCATGAGATTATTAAAATGAAGGTGTGTGCAAATAGCCTACAAACAGGTTTACTTTTTGGTGGTTAATTCGGATGAAGAGAAGGTTTAAATGCAACAAAACAAACTGACCTTGATAGGTGAATTTAGCATGATTGAGATGATGTGTAGCTTTGTTTCCCAGTGTCAATAAATGTTTGTCATTTGGGGATTTCAGGGACTGACTCTCTGCATGTGAACTGCATAATTATTCATGTAAATTCTATACCATGCATTTTTTGGGGAATTTTTTAGTAGTATGTTTTTATCACTTGTTTTCCTGTTGTTTTGACCAGACAGCATGTCTTCACCCCCACTACCTCTTCCATGTTAGCTTTGATTGAGCGTAATAGGAAATCCATTGCTGTGCGTCACCCCAGCACCCTGTAACCCGGGGAACATACAACTCTCCTCCTTTCTCACACTCTTTCTGTCCTTCCCCTCTAAGGGACATCATGGATTTTATAGAGTTGGGAGATGTGGGAAGTGGCTGTGAAGATGAGAACTGCGGCCTTGCATCGAGTCCCCTGGAGGACTGTCCCAACCAAGAGTGCCAGTGGGAGGAACCGGATTTTGGCTTGGTCGAGTTAGGTGGGTAGAGGACAACAGTTAAGGCCTATCAGAAGTTTTTATCTGGTTACAAAATAGACTGAAATTATTACTGATGCCAGTATATAACCCACAAAAGCAACAAAGCCTGTTACCTACAAGACCACAAGTTTCTATACTTGTACTGTTTAATGTATTAAATGTTGCATCAGGGCAGACGTCCAATGGCAAATCAACAGCCCCTTTCTTTAACAGCTATTTTTTAAATTACTGCAATTAACAGTGAGACATCAGTCTTACTTTTTTTGTCTTAACTTGCTCATGTATGGGTTCAATCAGTTCAGGGGCAAAAGGTTCTGTTTTGTCCAAGGGGGCACCAAAGTCAGCTCTAACCTGTAGTTCTTTATTGAGCCGTGATGTAAATGAACAATAAACCTGATACAGGCTCATTTTTTATGAAAAGGAAAAATTATCAAATCCTATTAAAAAAAACATATTTTGAATTGCAAACCATGTGATAGCAAACTGACCTGATGTTGTGGATGCAGTGAAAGTGGGCAGTAAAACTTGAAACTCACCAGATTTTAAAACCTCCCATTGTTAGCTGAACTCTTTTCACTTTATTCTTCAATTAGAAAATTACTATTACTTCCCATATGTAACTACCACCAATAACTGGTTTGCTTAACTTGGCACTAAAAGTTGAAGTACATTCACTCTTGGGTATTGAGGTCCTTTGGATACACACATTTGAAGACAAATTCAATCATTTAGGTTTGATAATTTGTTCAAGTATATTTCTGTTCAATACGAAGGGCTAATCTATCTGTCTTGGCAGGATTTATCTTCACTTTCAAAATCTTAAAAAAAAACAAACAAAAAGAAAATGACTTTTTTTTTCTTTTTTAGAAGTCAACTTGGTTTGCTGGTTCTCCTGTTTTCTGTCTTGCTCTTTGACAAACATGCTACTAAGAATTTCCCCTACAAATTAAGTTTCCTATCTTATCTTATTTTATCTTATCTAAGCTTATCTCCTTTCATCTCATCTTATCTTATATTAAACGAGGCTCTGTGTTTTCTGTCTTCTTAAAAACATTTCATTTGGCTCTTCTTCAAAAATTTTATTTGAGCTTTCTTGTAGGTGTACATTGCAATTAAAGCTCCTGTGAGAAAAGTAAGGTTTTCGTGGCTTTTGGCGCCCCCCCCGTGGACAAAGTAATACATCTTATTTCTTGTGCTGAACATGTAAAAGGTGTGTGTCCTCAGAGAGTAAAATATTTCACTCACTGGGAGTTTTTTTATTTGTATGCTTCTTCAGTGTACTGTTAATCATCAGGTCTGATAGCTCCCCCTCCTGGCAGTTTCAGGTATCTAAAATTACATCAGCGAGATTATAAACCTTGCTCTAGATGGTTTGTTTGCTTTTGAAAGTCATAGAAAGCTATCAGTGGCAGAATCAGGCTCTTTGTGGACCAGTTTAAACTCCTCAGGGTGGCTTTAAATTAGGAACTTTCCATTCCTTGTATTTAATTCATGCATGAAAATGTCATAGTTCTCATTAATACATAAAGTGAATCTGATAAAACATCAATATTTGATGTTGCAGTGTGTGTGACTGTCATTTATATCCCACTGATGCTCTTCGGCCTTCTGGGAAACGTACTAACAATTCTGGTGGTTTGGCTCCGCCCCCACATGAGAAGCTCCACCTACCTCTACCTGAGCAGCATGGCTGTCAGCGATCTGTTGATCCTCCTGCTGCTGCCTCTAGATCTTTATAAGGTAAACACAAACATAAAAACATAAGCACAAGGTGGGCAATACATTTTTCATCAACGCTTGTTATCACCTCAGATATCCTGTTGTGTCGATGATGTAGCTCGTGGTTCTGTCAGACACAGTATATGACGCATTCGCTCCCCTCTGAGCTCTGTCTTCCCTTATTGAACCCTCTGTTGCTCTACCCTCAGGGGAACTTGCTGACAAATGACATTTTTTTCATTACATCCAGCGGTTGTGTCATACCGAGAACATCATCTCCTCTGCACAATCACATTGGCAGATCAAATAACGTGAGAGAAAACAAACAATATTGTGGGGATTAAGACTTATTGTTAACATCTTCAAGAAAGAGAGAGAGAGAAAGAGAGGGCTGTGATTTCTCACTTTAGATCACTTCCTGTGATTCGGCTCTGTTCAGTTTGTTGTTCTTGTAGTCCTGTACATGTCAGTCAGGGTTAAATAGGGTAATAGTTTGGATTAAAAGATAAAGAGGCAGAATTCAGTCAATCAATCAAATTTTATTTATAAAGCAAGCGCCAATTTAAAACAGTCGTTATCCCAAGATGCTTTCCAAAGAAAAAGAGCAGGTCTAGACCATTGTTTGATGAATTAACAAAACCCAACCTTAAGATGAGTCCGATTTGACCCATCTCATCTAACATGAGTGACAGTGGTAGGAAAAACTTCCTTTAACAGGTAAAAACCTTGGGAAAGACCAGACTCATGCTAGAACGCCACCAGGCCGCTGCTGTGTTGGGGAGAAATACAGAGAGATAGGGGGAGAGAGAGAGAGGAGTAGGAGAGAGGACATGGGGAGAGAAAGAGAGCAAGGGAGAAGGAAGGAGCGAGAAAGAGAACAAGGGTGAGAGAGAGAGACAAGGGACAACAGCAACATTAACACGAGTACAACAACAACAGCTCATATTGAGTTGTGGTTGCAGAACAAGTACTGATGAAACAACATGAATTCAGTTTACAGGGTCAGAATATAAGTAATTATGGACTATGTTGAATTAATTTAATGTGATTACAGTCAGCAGGCCTAATAGTAGTTAACTCTAGTTTTATGTTATTAATGTGGGTGAGGCTGATGTTCATGTCTGCAGCAACAGTCCAGAGGAACCTAAGAGAAGAAGGAGCTCAGGGCCTGAGGCAGACAATCATAAATGATGCAGCTAGAGTCAGGCAGGTCCACAGTGGCCAACCATCTGTAGCATCAGTCCAATGTTTTAATAACGCCTGTAAATCAATGTTAACTCATTCTCTTCTTTGAAGCATGAAGAATAAAGTTCAATGTAAACCAAGAATGTGCACTTAAAACAAGATCTGTGTGAACTGGACATGAACAGATGTAGATTTATGAAGGTGAATACATGCAAATCTATAAAAAGGCTTTTGGGTTAAAACTGTCTTTCTCTTGCAGCTCTGGAGGCCCAGACCCTGGCCTTTTGGAGACCTTGCCTGTAAGCTGACCATGTTCATGTCAGAGTGCTGTACCTTCTGCACAATCCTCCACATCACCTTCCTCTCTGTAGAGCGATATCTGGCAGTCTGCTGGCCAATTACAGCTAAGACCCTCGTGACACGTCGCAGAACCAGAGTCCTCATTGGCTGCCTGTGGCTGGGCGCGGCCATCAGTGCAGCACCTGTGTTGGTCATGGTTGGAGTGGAGGAGGTTAGAGGAGAGGAGTCAGGGCTTGGTGGGTGGAGGGAGGATGGAGGGTGGACAGGAAGGGAAGGAGAGCAGGCAGGCCTTGTAGAGAGCAGGGAAAGGGGGAGTGGAGAAGTATTTTCAGTGGAAGAAGGAGAGGAGGCAAGAAAGTGGGGAGAAAATGTCGGTGAGTTAAAATGGTTTGGAGAGTCAGAGGAGAGAATGGTGGAAACAGAAGAAAAGGAGGAGAGGGAAAAAGGAGATGCAGGAAAATCCAGGGATGAGGGAGGGGGTAAGGATGTTGAAGAAAAGCAACAAAAGAAATCAGAAAAGGTGGATGAAACAGAAGGGGAAGAAAGTGTCAATGAAAATTCAGGTTTCCCTGACAGCAGAGAGTGCCGCTGCACAAACTACGCCGTTTCATCCGGCCTGTTGTCTTCCATGATGATTCTCTCCAACCTGTACTTCCTGGTACCTTTCTGCATCCTGGGACTGGTCTACAGCTTGATTGGACGGACACTGTGGCTCCGCCCACAAAGTAGTCGTAGAGACCAGAGTCATCGCCACACTGTAAAAATGCTGGGTGAGTTTTCTTTTATTTACTTTTTATAGAAACCCCCTTTTTTATATTTGCAGACTTGTCTCATTTTGTACTGTAAGCTGGGAACGTACAGCTGTATGGGCTTTAATTGTGAACTATCACTCTCAACATTAAGGGCATCAGTAGTCCTATCAAAAGGTGTACTCTACTCTAAGAGATACAGCTCACAAACACTGAACATTTAAAATTTAAAGGGAATAGGTTGGGCAGATATTTTACTCATTATATAATTCCAGGAGAAACAATATCAGTATATTAAGAGCTCAACTTCACTGCTTAATTTAAACTCATTCTGACGGAAATGGAAAATATGTCTAAGTTGTAGGTTTTCTTCTTGGAGACTACATGCTACAAATATATATATATTTAATATAAGACATTTGACTCAAGACTTTTGTCTCATCTTTACCAACTAACCACACAATTATGAGGGGTAGTTTCAACTCTCGCCTGGTCATGATAATGGACTGTTATCACTCAAAAAAATCAGACACCATCAAAAATCTCAAAAACAACACAGGAATTATGTTCTGAAGTAGGACTCAATTCGTGTATTCTTTCTGAGTACTCGTTATTTAGTTCGGTTTAGTTTGTTATTTAATTTTTTGCCCTTCAGTCTGCAAAAACAGAGCACATGATGCTACTTAAAAATCCACCAGGACCTGATGGATTTAGCTTAGGGTCTTTTGAGCTGCAACAATTAGTTCCCCAGTTCCCAAATGCTTACTAAAGTGACACAGAGGTATACTCTTGCCAATCCCAGCTTTTTAGGAATGTGTTGCAGCATCAAATTCAAAGTTAGCGAATATTTGCGAAAAACAGTCAAGTTACTTCGACAAGTAGGGAGAGCCTGATACATGATTGTGTGTGTCATGTCCCGTTAAAGAGGAGCAATTGGGCTTTTACACACTTACAAAGATGACAACTCTGTAAATGCAATTCAGACTAGTGTTTAAGATCTTTCAAACAAAGGCCTGTTATTTTCCCAGTGAGGTTTTAGATAAGATAAGATAAGATATTCCTTTATTCATCCCACGAGGGAAAATTCCAAAATTTACAGCAGAGATAAATCCAAAATAGAAATTAAAGAATGAAGAAAACAGAGTAAAAAAGATGTAAAAAAAAAAAAAAAAAAAGAAGAAAGAGAGAAAGAAAATAAAAAGGAAAAAAAGACATTTATATCGATATACATTATTCTAATGTTTATTTCTTTTATTTTTCTTCTCTGCTCTGCCCCTCTGTCTTCATCCAGGAGTGATTGTCTTGGCCTTCGTCTTCTGCTGGCTGCCCTTCCACGTAGGTCGGACAATTTTCTCTCTTTCTCAGGGCACCAGTACTGACGGACAGGAAGCATACGCTTACATGAATACACACTCAGAGATGATCAATATCTCAGAAAGCAAAGACAAAGATATCCATGTACACACCGATGAAGACACACACTTGGCAGATGCAAAAATCCAGACACACAGAAACAGAGAGACCCAGTATGAGGATATGAGCATAGACGTCGACTTATACTCTCATGTAAAAACAAGCAGGGGCGTGCATAATGTGGATCACAGCATCGACACAGTTTCACACACAAGAACACGCAATAACACAACACCTGCTGATAGGCAGATAGGCAGAGTAACAGACACAAAAACGAACTTGCATAACATCACAAACACCTCACTCACTCAAAGAGTTACAGATACCGATACAAAGGTGTCACATTCACAGACTAGTTTTCTTACAGACACCAGCACACACTCCTATGGGCCAACCTTTACAGAGCAACTAATACTTACTACAGAGCCCAACAAGATACAAGTCTGCAGAAAGTCAGAGGAAAACACAGCCCCTACCTCAGACACGAGCACACAACCTGTGACACAAGCCTACCTTTATGATGAAATACCTTTCAATGTTACTTACAAACCCCCTGATACCTACTACTTTTTATATTATCTGTCTCAGTATTTCAACCTGGTGTCCTCTGTCCTCTTCTACCTTAGTGCTGCTGTAAATCCTTTACTGTACAACCTAATGTCTGCCCGGTACAGACACGCTGTACACAGCCTCATACACACACACTCTCACACACAGACTCATCATCGTCGGCGCACTCTTACAGGACAACACTCGACCACCACCACTCTATGAAGCCCAGCTCTGACTGCACTGAAACATTAAACTAAAAAATGGACAATAAAGCTTCAAGTTTGTATTTGTGTTTTGTGGGTGAGACTACCGTTCAGACAGCTACATCATAGCAGATGTTAGAGCTGGAAACACACAGGGGTACCAGCATAAATAACGGATTATTTCCATTTTGGTGTAATAATGCCATCATGTCAGTGAAGATCAAGTCTGACAGTGAATGGTGCAAAAAAGTCTCTCTCCTCCTAAAGGGGTCACAATATCATAGTGCTCACTTCTGTCTATATTAGCTCAAGTATTTTTACTGAAAAAAATAATAATTTAATGCCAATTATTGAGCTGGAAGTTCTTTTATTCAGAATTTAAACATTGCTGTTCTTTGCTTGAAAATGATCTATTAATCTCACAGTTTGAGCTGTGTCCATGGTAACGGTTAACTCTTACCTCCCTTACCTTCCTAGTGTTACTCACACTAAACTGAAACCAAACGTGAAGCGAAACGAGATTAACTGGATCACGTGAATCAGCGCTGCACCTGATTTAGTTTGATTGGGAAGCCTTGACAAATACATAAAGTTGTTTCCCTGACATGTTCTGTCTTCTTCCACATGGTACCAAACATATACCAGTGTGTTTGTAAAATTGTACAGGATCTCAAATTGGTTTAGTTTACTGAGAATCGTCTGTCTTCTTGTGATTTAAAGCAGGGCTTAGTAAATATGACATGATAGTAAGGTGTTCTGCACAGTTTATATATTTATGCAGCTTCTCTTATGTTTCTCCTATTTTAGATAAGCTCGTGGGTATGGTTAAAAACATACCGTTGCACTCACTTAAACTCACAAACACATAGAAACACAGTACAGGGCTATCACTCTGATTCATGTGCGTCATGGTTCTTGTGTGACATGAGGTAAGAATAAATCACATTATGTGTCAGATTCTACTACAAATGCCTTATTTGATTTACAGTTTGAGTTTTATCACCTCTGTGATGGTGGTCACATTTTCGCTGTCGGTCTCTCTGTATTATGTCAGAAAAACACTTCAGATGAATTTTCTTTGGCGGATGGATCAGCCTCAGGCCGAGGTAGAATTGATCTAGATGTGTTCACAACATTGGCCATTTTTTCTATATGAAGGTTTCTTTTAAAACTGAGTACAAATCAACTTTATGGCACCTCACCTGGTTACAAATCAGTGTGACACATGTTGAGAATTGAAAACACATCCTGGCCTGTTAAGTCAGACTGTAAAACCTCATTAGGGAAATGTCCTATCTTGTGTTGTCAGGTTTGGTGCTTGGTTGATTAACAATATTGTTTGTATATTCTGTGACTGTTATGTATATATACTTAATTGCAATAATCTTGCATATTTATTTACTACATTACTTGTATTTGGCACATAGTTTATTATAAGTAGGCTTTGTTTGCTAGTCATTCATACAAAATGTCACAGACTCTCTCATGTATGATTTGTGGGCCAAACTAAGCATTATAAAAGAGTATCAACGAGAGTGGAGCCTGATGATGCAATGATTGAAACAAAACATGATCTACTATAGCAGGTTATGGGTGCAGTGAGTGGCCAAGTGAAGACTGGAGCGGAAATCCAAGCAAAAAAAACAACAACAAAACTTTTGTTTAAATTATTATTTAAAGCAAATATCTAAAAAGATTTACCCCTCAGTGTTACGCTATGCCCTGTTTGGAGGGATGCATTTTGCAGATGTATCCTCTATTCCTTACCATTTGTAAAGCTTTGTTAAAGAAATAAAGGAATAAACATAATGCTTTTGTTATTTTTCCTCATTTTGTTGTAATGCATGAGTGACCACAGACTACAGATAACGTGGTTGATGTTCACAACCTCAAGATGGCGCTGTGATCCAACAGGTTTAAAAAATACAGTTCAACTTGCTCCTGTGATGCTGTTATGCGAAAATTTTGACACACAGATTTCAAATGGTTAAAAGGGTATCATTTAAAGTCACAAATTTAAGAAAAGGTCTTTAAAAAAGTTCATTGTAGTCTACTTTCCACTTTACTTTTGTTAGTATAATGATATTCCCTTTGTCTCAAGTCTGGAAGAAAAAAAAACAGCACTATCTTGTCATTCTGTTTACCCCTTCACCATCTCCACATCCCAATTCAAATGAAGTTAGGATATTGTGTAAAATGTAAATAAAAACAGATTACTATGATTTTCAAATACCTTCCCACCTTTACTCAATTAAAGAAACTACAAAGACAAGATATGTAATGTTCAAACTGATAAACTTGATGGTTTTCTTGCAAATATTTATTCGTGTTAAATTTGACGCTACAACACATTCCTAAAAAGTTGGGACAGGGTCAAAAAAAGTGTGAAAAAATTAAGGATTGCTCCAAAAAGACAGGTTTACATCATTCCACAGGTGAACAGGTTCATCAGAGACAGGTGAGGGTCAGCCATTCACAAGCAATGATGGGGCCAGGTTCACCACTTTGTCAACAACTGTGTGAGCAAATAGTCTGACGGTTTAAGGAAAACATTTCTCTGTGAACAATAGCAGGAATTCTACAGTTTGTAATGTCAATATGCTGTCACCCAAGCCAGGCCTTTTCATGGATGTCCCCGCTTATTTCAGCAACACAATGACAAGACACGGTCTGCACGTGTTACAATAATGTGGCTTCAGAGTAAAAGAGTGACAGTACTAGACAGACCTACCTATCCCCCATTAATAATGTGTGGAGCATTATGAAGCACAAAATACTACAATCTAGACATCATTGCGGTTTGGCCACTCACAGTGGGCAGAAGTTTCCATGATGTTACGTGGGCTTGAACTCTTTCTGCTATCGATTACTAAGTCTGGCTACCGTGGCTAGGCTAAGGTATTTTAGTTAAGATAAACTTTGCTTCAAGAATATCTCCCTCAATTTACTTTGTGTCAGCACATTTGTATTCAACAAAAATATTAAAACACATGAAGGTGTAAATAAAAGAAACAACTGCGTTTCTTTGTTTTTATCACAGTTTTATGTCAATAGTGATTAATAACCACAATGTAAAGATGTATTAAAGTCAGCCAGCGCCCCCCTAGTGGCTTTTAGATACGAAAAGACAGCATCATGAATTTCAGTCTTTTTCATTAATAATAAAAACTCCTCACAGTCGCTTTAACAAACATAAAACAAAATATTAATTAGTAAACTGGGTGGAGGACCAAATCTGGTTTTCATACTGTACTCAAGCTTGAGAGTTACATATCATCTCATTTAACTCATCTTCAGAGAGCAAATTCGTTTATTTCCCCAAATGTTGAGTTTAATATTCAGCAGCGCTTAAACCAGTAATCTGACTAACCAAACAAATTACAGAGTACTTAAAAAGAAAAATGGATGTCATTAGTTATTCATTCACGATATTGTTAGAAGCACTAAGTGCAATTATAACAAAGCAACATCTGCTTTCAACACTGTGATCGAAGACAATGGATAAATGTGGAAATTAGCACCATGCATCTCCTCCTGACAAAAATTCATTGGATGCTTGAGCGTATTGAACTTGGCTTAAGCTACATTTAACAGTCACCATTTCATTATATTTCAATTATTGATTCTCTGCCTACACATGCACTTGCATAGCCACCCTGATCGACTTAATGCTCGGACAACGATCAATATTACTCACATGTGAACACAGACCTCATACATGCTTGGAGATGCACACCAGCTGTACACTGCACTCACACACACACACACACACACTGCACACTCACCTCTCTCTCTGTGAGCCCTCAGCCAGGCAAAGGTCTCCGAAGGCAATGATTGAATGATCTAATTTTTAAGTGGGAGGAAGCAACAAGTCGTATTTACTACCAGTATTCATGTCCTGTAGTGTTACTGCTCAACAAGAGGGGTTTCAACAGACACCTGTGACATATGGGGCAAATTAATTCAATATGGATCCAACACTTAAGGGGCAAAAAAGCTGGAATGAGTTAAAGAAAAATACATATACACATAAATGCATAAACAAAGATTTAGCCTCAGTATCTCTTAAGGGAGCAACAGCTTTTAGCTGCTATTTCATAGCCTGAGAGTATGGGATTTCAATATAGAGTTTGAATACATTTGTTACAACAAATACTTCTTAGACTGGAGAAGTATTGACCAATATATAGATCGGAGTTCTTCCATAATTAAAAGGAAAACAAAAGTGGATTCAAGATGTTATTTGCTGATAGAAGTTCACATAAATCTTAATATGAAAAAAGGGCCACACCGTTTACACCCACAGATCAATGGTCATGTATGAAAATGAAAATTATTTATTTTATTGTGTTTTCTGAGTTTTACCCAGGAGTTGGATTGAGACAAGCTTTGTTATGGACACGCACAGTCATAAAAATCAGTGAGACCGCTGCCACCACTCTCTGTACCATTAACTGTACAAAAAAAGACAATTTTTTCATCATACGCAAAATCCTGATACCACCTCGAGGGGCACGAGCGAATTGTCCCAGGAGAGCCAGGGCATGTGCAGAGTCAATCTGGACGGTGGAGTTTTGGGACTTCTGCTGTTACAGTCGTAAGTAGTTGTGTGTGCTTGTGAGTGTATTTGCTCCCTCCCCTCAGGCTGAACTGAACTGATTTTTTATTTGTAGTCATGAATGGATTATCATGACCATTGCCCCTGGGCACAAACTCACTGTTGACCCTCCATGCAAACTACATTATATGTGGTTTCCACTATGTGTACCCTCCTTTATTACTCTAAGTTTGGTCACACACTAGCACAGAATTCACAACCATACAGCACATATTTTTTTTAATTTTAACTATTTTTTGATATTATATTTTGATACAACAACAAATACAGCTACAGGTCAGACTGAAAACAAACTTGCATAATGAATCCATTCTTGTGACTTTAAACAGCATACAGTTCCTTCCATGTGAAAACCATGAAAAACAAACAAGCCAAAAAACAGAGAACACAACACTTAACTA